GAGCACTATTCAAAAGCATACTCTGAAAAAGTTGTTGTTTTAAGCCAAAATGCTTCAGAATGATTTGCTGTGCAGCAGTAGATGTAGCACAGAGATGAAGTGTTACTACAAAAACTGAAAATATAGCACATTGGCTTTAGACCCAGACAGTGTCTGCATAGTCAGCAGGATGTGAAGAGGAGTTACAGGAGCGTGAAAGACTTGCTACTAGTGGCTGGAGCGGCAGAAGTATTTTTTCATCAAGGCTGAAAAATCAGCAAGATCAGAAACTACAGTGATGGGAGAGAGAGAGCACCTGCGGTGTACTTGTGGGGCTTGCTGAGGAGGCTCTGGCCAATGTGGAGTGAAGTGGCTGGCTTCTTTGATTTGTTTATGTCAAGGTAGTGCAGAAAGAGGTGAGCTGAAGGAGGAATTCTTTTGTTTTGGAAATTTCTTAAAATTATCATGGCCCTAAGATAGTATCTCTAATAAAAGATAGTGCTAAGAATGGTCACAGCATGGAGATTAAAAAAAAAAAAAACAGTGTGAAATAATGGCATAAAAATAAACTCTGGAACCCAAGAAGACAGCGCTCTTGTTGAGACATGCTGGCCGTCATTGTCTCTGTTCCCACCCGAGTCCTCGGCTCTATATCAGAAATGCTATTCCTTTGCGAACCACAGTCAAAGAAGAGATGGAGCAGTTCTGGAATAAGAACACAGGTTCAAACCATCCTGTATCTCCCCAGGTCACTATCTACAGTTGGTCTCTTCCCATGGTGATGTCCATTTGCCCTCGCGGCACTGGTATGGCCTTGAGAGGAAGGGTCTCTGTTTGATGTGTCAGCCCTGTTGTTCCCTGGGAACTCTGAGTCTTACTTGGAATTCGTGAAGTCTTTGCGTCTGGAGCCAGCACTGATCTAAATTGCTAAGTTTGGACTCGTCTTCCCACTCGTGTGTCACACCTGGAATGGGATCCGGCACTTGATGTGGGACCTGGGAAAGGCCTGAAGACTGCCCAGCTCTACCTAAGTCTGGGGTGGATTAGTCGTCACAAACTGCTATACCTTCCTGCTCCTCATTCTTACCCCAGCCAACAGAGTTACCTGATCTCTTTGGATCCTTCTGTGTTTGTACATGATCCCCCTTAGCTCAGTAGATTGGCTTGTAAAAAGTACAAAAATAGAAGGGGTCCAGTTTTTCCCTTGTTTCTCACGATGGAATGGCTGTAAAAACTCCCTTTTCCTGCCCACAGTTTGCTGCCTACTCTGGGCCTAGAAGCCTATTTTCTGTCCACATTGGGCTTTGATTTGTGCTGAGGGTTAACTTTTGGCCCCTTCTTCCTGAGACAGTGGAAACAATGCCAGCTCTGTGGTTTCTGCCATGGAGGCTGGGGGTGAGGCTTTGGGTGCCACTGCCTGTGGGTTGCTGGCTTAAAGGACAGTTCTGTTCAGCGGTCAGAGTCCAGGGTCTTTAGCACCCACACAGTGTGACTGAAAGAAAGAAGGTGGGGATGGAAGGAAATTGTCCTGGCTCAGCTAGAGGTAGATAAAAGGGATGTTTGGTTCTCAGAGCAGGTGCCCTAGGCAGAAGAGAGATGGCTTTTGATGGAAGAAGAAGAAACATTTCAATAACTATTTTAAGGTGTTTTTGTCTGGTCATATTGTTTTGTTTTGTTTTTGCATTTATGGGGTGGGGAATCCTTCCAATATCATGTTTTCTAATCCAAGTTCATGCATATCTTTTCTGAAACAATTGAAATGCTCATTTAAAAATAAATAAATATGGGGCTGGGGAGATGGCTCAGTGGAATAAGCGCTTCCCTGGCAAGCACAAGGGCCCGAGTTAAATCCCTGGTTCCGAAAAAAATAAATAAATAAATAAATAAATAAATAAATAAACTCTGATCACTGAGTGCAACCCCAGGCCCTCACCTCAAACTTCTGAGACCCCTAGCCTCTCCCAGATTCTTGCAATAGCACACATCCTTTGTGGGATTTTATTCAGCCTCTGTAGAATGACACATTTTACACAGAATGCACACATTTTACATGAATTGGGAAGGACATTATGGGTAAAGATTATAGAATATTTCATTGTCAGTCAAAAGTCATTGAGAACTCAATTTAGAGATAATTTTATACAGGGCTCATCTGTTTTGACAGGTACCCTAAAATATATGAATCACCCCTGTGTTCTCCCACATTAGCAAAGATTTGCTACAGTAAAACAATAAATGTTCATGGCAAAATAATTTTAGTAAATATGCTTTGCTGTAGTAATTTCACCTGCATATATAAACATTTTAGGAAGACATGGAAACCTACTATCTTCTCATAAAGTTGGTTGTAGAAGGTGTTGAATACAGTAGCACAAGGCAACCGGAGGATGCAATTGATACATTTTTTTCTAATTATGATACTTACAGTTTACACTTGTCCTAGACAAATGATTGTTTATCTGCTGTGGACAAGCCTCAAGGATATAACTACTTAAAGAATTTTTTATTTTATTAAGAAGTAAAACAAAACTTTATAATCAAATATATAATAAGAGAATGTAGGTAATGATCAGCTTTTCTTCTTCAAAGCACAGAGGGAGACCCATGATGTCCCATATACAAAGTATCCATAGCTTTGAAGTTTGTTCCTCAACACTAATTTTGAATTAATTTTCTTATTTCCACATTTGTTATTTTCTCTGGGAATTAATTTATGAATCTTTATATATTGTTTGAATGCCTTTGTCAATGTTAGAATTTTGAGTAATCAATGAATGCTTGTCATTTTTTTCCCACTCTGTGCTCTAGCTTGGATCTGGACCTTTCCAAACCATGTGGACCAAGGCGCTGAAGACTGAGTCCCTCCCCGGCTTTGAAGGGGCACTGAGGTGGGCAGCCTTTTGGTAACTGAGGATGGACTCCTGAATGGTTAGGACTCTACTCTCCCTCTTCTTTCTCATTTCTGTCTGGCAGGACCCAAGCAGCTTTGTTTTGCCATGTGTACCCCACAATAATCTGCTGCCACAATACAGGCCCAAGAGCCATAGGGCCAACTGCCCAAGGATAGGAACTCCAACTATGAGGAAAATAAACCTTACCTCTTTTTAAGTTGGTTATCTCAGGTGTTCTGTTACAGTAACAGTAATGTAACACATTATGAAATTAGCCTTTTTCCATAATTTTAAGACCTACACAATATTTTATGACATGTATGCACCATTATTTACCCATAACCACTGTTGGAATAGTGAATCGATGGTCAATTTTTATTACTATAAAAATTATAACAAATTTATATTTAAGTTTTTCTTCACATTTCTGATTTTTTTTTTTGCAGAAATGAAATTTCCTGCTTAAATGCTCTTAAAATAAATTACCAAATTACTGTATTTTGAAAACAGTGTAACAGTTTTAATTCTCACATCCTGGTATCTGCCACAACACCCCTCCCACAGAACATTAACATCATAGCTCAAGACTCTGTTAATGGGAGCACCAAAAGGTATTAAATGACATAATGAACAATTAGAGAGTCCAGACTGCTAGCGATGCTTTGTGTATCTCATGGTTTCAGATGTCTTCTTTCCTGTCTGTTCTGCAGAGCTGTGTGAGTTCCACACTTCTAATGACAAAGAAAATTTAGTAGATTTGATGGCCTAAATATCCCTTCCTGACAATTCTTGTTGCTAGCTAGTCAGTAGTATAATGATATAGGAACAGGGGCTTTGAGGAGGCAGTTAGAGCTTGAGGATGGGCTCTAAGGACTTAAGTGCACTCAGAAAGCTGTCAGAGCCCCGCCACCATCTTAAGAGAAAGTGGCAGGCAGCAGACACGTGATTTCCTGGTACCAGGAACACGGCTGCTCTAGGCAAACCATTTCTGTTCTGTATGAGCCTCCTACATCCGGGAGCTTTGTCAAGTAGCCTGAGTGGACTAAGAGTAAGCTATGCTCAGTGTTCAAGAATCAAGACTGCCATTATCCATGAAGTTCAAAACTGAGAATCATTCCTCAGGAAATAACCTAAATATAGAAATGCTAGTGTGACTGACCACTACAACCATATCTATAATAGTTAGCAAGTTGTAAATAAATGTCCAATGACACTGAAATAGCTCTGAATAATAGACCTGTAATATATTAGAGCAAAATGTTACATTGAAATATATGGAAATAAAAGGGAGTCTTTCAACTTTTAACACAGAAAAAATTCTGATATATAATATTAAATAGTATTAGGAAAAAAATTTTGTTTCCACTAAATTGTAGAAGGAGATAACTCAAAAAGCATTCTAGTAATTGAGTAGTGGAGTTGTGAATGCTTTATATTTTCTTTCTGGAAATTTATTAGTTTTTAATTTCACCATATTATGTTTCTAGTTTTCTTGTAAATCCATTCTAGCTTAAAACACAGCCATACACTTAAAAATGTGGACTTAAAAATGTTTTCATTATCATAAAAATGTTAATTTTAATTGTATTGCAAATATCCTGAATTCTGCTTAGCCATTCTTTAATGAATATTACATAAAGACTTAACAGTAATAGAAACAGTGATGTAATGTGAAAATTTAACATAGTTCTACTCTAGGATCAAAGGAAAAGAAGAAGCTACAATGTTTTAAGGTAGAGAAACAGAGATGGGCACCGTGAAATCTAAGAACTCTGGGAGGGTTAGAAATACCCAGCCTGGGTAACTTAGTGACTCAGAGACACCCTGGCTCGAAGTTAAACATTTTTTCAAGAAAGGATGGATGGGGATGTAGTGTATTGCAACGGCTTTGCGTTTAAACTGAGAGAGGGAGAGAGAAAGGTGGGGAGAGAATAATTAACAGCGGCCATCTAAAGTGCCGCGGTCTTTACTCTGCAAAATGAATTACAACAATCCAGACCTAGTGGACAACTGATGTGCGTTGTAATCCTTGACCACGAGGAGCAAAGCTGCGCGTGGCCGCTCCGTGCATCTTTTCAGTTCAGCGTGGCTTGCCCAGTGGGGGATGCTGAGGAGTACCCAGACACGCACCTGTCGAACGACGGCTTCTCCCCACAGTCGAAGGCATCCTGCAGCTCCTTGACCAGGTTGGCCTGGCCTGGCAACCGGAAGAGACCCTCCTCCTTCAGCCCCCGCTGTCGGATGAAGTCCACGCACTGCTCCACCAGCATCGGGGCCAGGCGGTTCCCGTACCTCTTCTCATAGCGCACAGTGTCTTCCAGTTTCTGCCCAAAAATACCTAGGGAAAGAAGAGCACAGTGAAGTGAAGAAGCCTGTCTCTTCAGACTTGCTCAGTTTCTAAAGTTAATGTAAAAAAAAAGAAAAAGGAAAACAACAACAACAACAAAAAAACCCCACAAAAACAAAAAAAAAAACAAAAAAACAAGACTGGGGCCGGGGAGATGGCTCAGTGGAATAAGCACTTCTCTGGCAAGCTCAGGGCCCTGAGTTCAATTCCCGGTTCCGCAAAAACAAAAACAACCCCCCCCCAAAAAAAAAACAAAACCAAAAAAACCCAAGACTAAAGGCCAGCGAGATAGCTCAGCGGACTAAGTACCTGCTTTGGCAAGCGCAGGGACCGGGTCCTACGCTCAGTACCACATACATCACCAGCCCCAGCCCTGGGCACACTGAGCCGGCCACGGAGTCCGTGCATGGTGGGGCACGGGAGGCTAAAAATAGAAAGATCACTACGATTCCGAGTTACCTAGTGAGACTGTGTACCAAATATATTTTAAAAAAAGATTAAAATATATTTGATCTTTGGTATTTCCCACTCTTATACTATCTGTTTCACTATGGTGGTTCCTTACTTATCACGGAGGTTATGCTCCAGATGCCCCTGCAGTAAGTAAAAAATCAGCAAAGTAACAACGCTGTATTTATTTTAGTATTTACATATATTTTAAGGCGTTGGAAACCCTTCTCACACTTTACAGACTTTTTAAAAATGTATTTGGAACAGGGTCTACAGGGTTTCACTACGTGGATGAGACTTCTAGTGATCCTCCTGTTTTCAGCCTCCCAAGCGCTGGGATTACAGGCGCACGCCACCACGCTCAGTCTCAATCGCTGTCTCAGTGTATGCTGGCGATGGAGGGCGGGGGGCAGTGTGGTAGTCAGGCGCTGCACGCTGGGGATCGAACTGTAGCTGCTGCGCTCCGCCTAAGCAGGCGCTTTAGTCCGCTGAGCTATCTGGCCTGCCCTTTAAAAGTACTTTTAATGTTGGTAACCGTTTCCTAAACTAGTAAACCTACGTAATTTTAACAATATACATATACTGTATGGTACTGGAAAATCCTGTGACATAGCGTTACATCAGTGATGAATAATTTAGATTAATATTTTTTGAAAATCCTGCGAAACAGTGAGTCCTCAAAAGTCAAACCGCAAAATAGCGATGGACGACTGCATATATAATCCAAAAGGCAAGAGTTTACCTTATGTTGGCCACTTCCCTTATGTGCTATGTTTAGCTCAAAACTAAACCAGAAATGCTGTTTGAAGTAGAAAAACACCACTACAAATATAATTTTAGTTTTGGGTTTTCACATTTTTTTTCCGGGAAAGAAACTGAATCCGAAAGACAAAGGCAGGAAAGTTATCATAACATGAGTCACAATTTCATTTGCTCATGGTTTATTTTACATACAGTTTGCATGTAGTTCAAATTCTATTCCTTTCTCTTTTCCTTTTTTGTTTTCATTCATAATGTCCTGACTGTGATTAAAATGATAAAACCAGGAAAAAAAAGCCATGCTAAGAAAAGGGAGGGGACTGAGAGATGGAGGGAGGGGAGGAAGGGATGGAGGGGTAAAGGAACTGTGCTGTGTTCTATGGACCAGCCCCATGGGAGGGACGCGAGCATGTTATGTCCCACACATGGGCTAATAAACTAAAACAAAAAAATTAAAGTTAAGAATGTTTCCAACAGCCTTTTTCCTTTCAAACTTTAAACTACTAGAAAAATTAAGGCCAGGGAGATAGCTCAGCGGTCTATACTCCTGCTTGGCAAGTGAAAGGACCCGGGTTCAATCACCAGTGTCACATGCTGTGCCTGCCTGGCCCCAAGCCAGCCACCAAAATGGGGTGTAGGTGTGCACACTTGCAATCCCAGCACTGGGGAGACCGAGCCAGGAGGATCACTAGGAGTCCGAGCTTCATAGTGAAGCCCTGTACCAAATAAACAAATAAGATTCTTTAAAAATGAGAACAATTAAAATTAGAAAGCAATGAGTTCTAGAAGCAAGGAGAACGGGATGTGGTTCTTTAGCCTGGAAGAGAGGGTATTATGTCAGCTTCCCCCGTCTATAGTTGCCAGCACTCAGTGGTAATAAAGGGCAGCAAAATTATAAGTCAGGTTTACCACTGCTTTTAAAATATCTCCAAGTATACATTCCTCATTTTATGTCCCCAAGACTGAACAGCCCCCAGTACTCCATCCTTGGTCCCCCCTGAGAAGGGACAACCCTTTTCAAGTATATTCATATTAGGCAGCAGCTTGACAAATATGATCAACTTATGAGAAAAGAAGGGAAAAATAAAGCTAAGACACATAAGATTCCAACATCCTCAGATGAAATGAATCATTAAGTGGTTTCAATGGCCTGATAAGTTTTATAAAAGGAGAGGGAAAATAAAGGTCTGTTAAAATGATATAAGCCTCCAAGGCATTTGAGGAATTATTTAACAACCATTAGGTTAATATTTGATAATAACAACAGATGTTTCCCCATCCACATGTAAAATCATTTATCTATGGACTTAGCAGTGTGAAACTATCGCATTCCAGCAATAAAGATCTGCTACCAAAGAGAAGATTCATAGTCCAGGTGAAAACATTGACATGAAACAAAATGATTCCACACCCGGTATCAAATCTAGCACATTACAGACTTCACACATTCCTTTTAGAAAATAAGGCTCAGTGACCTCTATCAGTATTCAGAACCATGCCAACTAGAATTAGAAAATGGTATTTTTGTATGCCAGTAAAGATAGAGCAGGTAACAACAGGCCCAATCTGATTTAGTAGATAGTCTGCAGGACAAGCAGTTTTTTTGACAATGGCATGCCCGACCTTATTCAGTAATTCACCAGCCATTCTCCTGATAGTTTGTCTCGTCATCTCCACTTCAGAAACCAAAAAGTAAATGCTTCTCTTACTTCTCTTACAGTGAGGTGGCCACAGGGCAGAGCACTGGCTGAGAAGGGTCACAGAGACCAGAGGAAGACCCACTCTGTGGATGGTGAGAACGGCACCCGGAACGGCCAACCACCCCTTTGCATTTCCTTTCCTGATGCAATACGAGTAGAAAGAGCAAGGCTGCCTGGAAAGAACCCAGGCTCCATAGCCAGCTGACGGGTGTGAAGTCATAAGATGCCTGCCGCAGCTGTTTATCCAAAAAGACTAAGGACAACAGGAAGAACATTAAGAAGGGCAAAAACTGGACTTCGCTCTTTCCGAACTTGGTGCCATTACTTGGAGTTTTAAATTTCTTTAAAATATTATTTTAACTGATTCATAAAATCATAAAAATCATAGATATATTTTTGGGGTGTAGTGTGATGTTTAATGCATGCATGCACTATATAGTATTTAAGGTTAAGCATATTTATTTCCTCAAACATTCATTTTTGTGGTGAAATATTAGCAAACCTTTCTTCCAGGGTTTTTTTTTTATTATATATATAGAACCGAGGATTGAACTCAGGCCCTTGTACTTGCCAGGGAAGCACTTATTCCACTGAGCCATCTCCCCG